CATTTCTATCTCTCCGCATTTTTCGTATTCATTATCCCTGCTGCCAAAAAAGTCTCAGCTGCTGGAAAACATCTGTTGATAATTCACTTCGTAATCTAACAAATTACTAAGCGGTTTTATGTCCGGCCGAGCTGGAAAGTTCGCTCAGCAGCAGTCAAATATTTTCTTCCGGTCTCCATCCCCTCTCCGGTCACCGTATGACGCAAACTCCTGAGTTGTGGAGCGAAGGGAGACGCGCTCGGCCGCCTCAGATGTCGGTCTGAAAAGTGGGACAGGGCCCCCGCGTTGCAGCTGCGACCTGAGGCCACTGATGCGCGCTTTTATGAACGTTAATTACTACAGCCAAGGCAATTAATGGTCTTGTAATTTCTTTTAAATTTAATTTAGAAATTACTCTCTGATAACAGGTTCTGACCTGATCTGTAGTCGCGCGTTTTGTATTTCTAGATCGGAGTACACGAATGAGCGGATTGGATTCAACTGGCTTGAGACAGGGCCTGTTGGCGGGCTCTTATAAACGCGGTCTCATTTCTCGTGTCAGTTTATCGAGTCTTGAAAATATTTAGAGATATTTCATGTTTTGCACCGCGGTGTTAGATCGTCACTTGTTTCCGAAAAAAAGACGATGCTGTAAGCTGACCAGCTCCACGGTAAAGGGGCATAAGTCAAACCGATGTTTTACATTAAATCTAATTTAGCAAAACTTCAGTCTTAAGATCACGTGTAAATTTATGTTGAACTTTTATGAATGTTTGTAACACGATATGGAAGAAATAAATTTAAAGAAACTAAGTACATGTTAGTACCTCGTCAACAGACAGAATTATCTTAGGGTGGCTAATAAGTCCTTTGAAAGGGTTACAAAGTTCAAATATCTGGGAACAACAACAACAAATCAAAATGACACTCATGAGGAAGTTAGGAGGAGATTAAATTCTGGAAATGCTTGCTACTTCTCAGTTCAAAATATTTTGTCTTCCCGTCTGATTTCTAAGAACCTGAAAATTAAAGTGTACAAACCAATAATCTTGCCTGTTGTTTTGTTTGGGTGCGAAACATGGTCGCTCACTCAGGGGGAGGAACACAGATTGCAGGTGTTTTGAGAATTTGGTATTGAGGAGGATATTTGGGCCTAAGAGAGAAGACGATGGGGCATGGAGAAAACTGCATAATGATGAGCTTAAAAATCTGTACTCCTAACCCAATATTGTCAGGGTGATTAAGTCGAGAAGAATGAGATGGGCGGGGCACGTAGCACGCATGGATGGGACAAGAGGTGTGCCCCGGGTATTGGTTGGGAAGCCTGAGGGGAAGAGACCTCTGGGGAGAC